TTTTATTCTATTTTGAGAGAATTTATATCCCGCAAACCTACCTACAAAGGATGAGTATCGACTGTACACTATAGTTTCAGTAAATATTTCCATTTAGTATTTACTGATAGCGCCGATTTAAGGATTCATAAATCTGATTGGATGATGAAATAGATAGAAAGATAGATGTTACTGCCATACTATTTCTATTGGTTCAGAATAGACACCAAACACATGACTGAACCCTGATTGGATCAGGCGCTAATGAACTCTGCATACAGGAGTGTGTACGGAATGAATACTGTCTGTTTCTTCATATTTATGATTCCCTGCAACTGTAAACTTATTTCTTTCTTTGCCAAATCATTAAAAAACGCCATTTAAAAACCAAGTTCAAGGCAGAAGACCAAATTTAAACTTAGGATCGCATATTTGAAGAGTTCCAAGTCGTCTTTACATTCTCATCCTTTTTGGGTAACCCTGTAAAAACCATTAAATAGGGACCAAAAAAGAAGATTAAATTTAAACTTAGGATCGCATCTTGAAGAGTTTCAAGTCGTCTTTACATTCTCATCCTTTTTGGGTAACCCTGTAGAAACCATTAAATGGGGACCAACAAAATGTCTCATAATGTACTAAATATCTAGTAAATATGTCTCAAAAAGAATTGAGTATTTGTCACAAACCATGATTTTCTAATCTCTAAATCTTTGCAACCCAATGCCGTAGACCTTAGATATTTCAAACTATGAATTCTGTTAGATGAAAAAATCTAATTTTGAAATATCAAAGGTTTACACCATCAGGTTGAAAAAATATAGGTATTAGAAAATCAGAGTTTGTGACAAAGACTCAATTCCTTCAGTTGATATCTGACAAAGGAATTGAGTCTTTGTCACAAACTCAAAACTTGTACTACCTATATCTTTGCAATCCAATTATTTGAACCTTTAATATTTCAAACTATGATTATTTGATCTAACACAATCAATAGTTTGAAATATCAAAGGTTTACAACATTGGGTTGCAGAGATAAAAGTATTATAATATCAGAGTTTGTGGCAAAGACTCAAATCCTTAACAAATGTTCATACCTTTTAGTTCAGTCACCCACTGATTGTATTTAAGGTTATAATTCTTGGTTGTAAATGTATGTGAATCACGTATGTCTGGAATGTAGCTCTTATTAAACTTGTTTCAATGTTTATCAGTTTCTCCATCTATATTCTGTACTAAACACTGGACCAGGAGAAATCTGTAGAGCTGAAACACTCCTATATAACAGGATGGAGAGAATATCTAAACCCCATCTTCCTGGCTTTAGGTAATATGTGGGTGTTAACAAACATCCACATTTGCTGTCTGAATTATAATAAATATGTATATTTTAGTTATGTTTGTATTGATTTTCTAACTTTTTTGTTTCCGATAAACGCCAACCTGGTCCGAAATCTGATTTCCTTATCCCATTATCTTTGCATACAATGTAATGGACCTTGGATACTTTAAACTATGAATACTGAAAAATCAATTAGTCAAAGTTTGAAATATCAAAGGTTTACACCATCAGGTTCCAAAGACAGAATAATTTGCAATTGTGAGTTTTTTGACAAAGACTCAATTTCTTTGTTAGTGTTACTGTTTATAACTGTAAGAAATGAAAATGCTCTACTGCTCTTTTTGGTTTAGAAACGTATACCATGCTTAATCACTTTCACTTTTTAAATTCATTTCTCCAAATCTTATCGGGAGGTAAACATTTTAAATAGAAATCAACAGCTCTTTATAAGTTAGATATTTAAAGACTTCTAGAACGCTTCGCCCCCTCTCACCGTTTGCATTCAAATTTGAGACCAAACCACTTGGATAATATATAAAAAAAAAACTTAACATACGTTCCGGGTACTTTGCACCTCTTCGTAGAATGATAAATCTGCAAGTGTGCATCTTATCAAATAACTTGAAAATTAAAAATGTCTCCATCAAAAAGGATTTGGCATTGTTAAAAGCTTTAAAACTAATCATGACAACCAGAACAGTCTAAATTTTTTTTTTAAATTGTGAAATTGATTAAGTAATTTGTGACACCCAGTATATAGTTTTCACAATTGTAACAAAGTCTAAATAATTCTGTGCATGAATATCCAAGTGTTGATAAGCGCACGCGCGGGGGAGTCAGGAGCCTCAGCAGCTCGTCTTCAGTTGTAAGCACAGTGTCTCAGGAATCAGAGCTAGCGCGCGCACAAGCGCTCAGTGAATTATGTGAATATGAAAGCGGACAATTTCAGGGATTTTAACATGGCAAAAACATTTATCAAGCATTCGATTAATCACTGTTTTTTTTGAAAATTTTGTTTTAATTGATTAATATCTAAATGTTTAGTATTATACATTTTTAAAAAATCAGTTTTAAATTTTTAAGCCCTTTTTCTTACCACGCCCCCCCTCTCCCATACTTCTTTACTGGCATACTATTTTGCACAGATTTAAAACCTTATTATTAGGAAAAATTTGCATTGTAAACATTGTGTCATCATGCAAATGAGGTAGAATTAGCAAACTTTATTGCAAACCTTTGCAAGAGTTTACGGATTCGGTCGATAGAGGGATAGAGGGATAGAGGGATAGAGAGATAGAGGGATAGAGGGATAGAGGGATAGAGGGATGGAAGGATAGAAGGATAGGGGGATAGAGGGATAGAGGGGAAAATTACTAAACAGTTTAATTCATAAACCCAGGTTTTAAGACAGTTAGTGAGCCAGCTAGATAGATTTGTTGGCGTGTTGATTAGTCAGCTTGCTGATTAGCTGGTTGGTTAGTCAGCTAGCTGATTAGCAGTTTGGTTAATAAGCTAGCTGATTAGCTGGTTGGTTAGTTAGATGGTTAGGTAATTAGCTAGCTGGTTGGTTAGTTAGTCTGATAGTTAACTATCTAGATGTTTTGTTTTATGGTTGGTTAGTTGTTTGAATAGTTAGTAGGTTACGTTAATTGGTTGGTTAGGTAGTCGGATAGTTAGCAAGTTAGTTAGTCAAATAGCTAGGTAATTAATTGTTTAGTTAGTTGGTAGTTAGATGGGTTAGTTGGTTGGCTTGGAAGCTTGTTAACTAGCTGGTTATTTAGTTAGTCAGTTATAAAGTCAGTTTTTAAGTTTTGAGTTAGTTAGTTAGTATTACGGGAGTTAGTTATTTAGTATTCTTGTCTTAAAGGCTTACAAATTTGATTCTAACCAGAATCACTGGTAAAAACAAAATAGATAGAGAGAATAGAGAGTTTTCAGTGGACTGCACAACTTCACAAAATTAGTTGCTCTCGTTGATCAAGCAGAGATGGCTGGGTTGACAATTTTACTAACTTTAATAGTTGATATTTTCAAATGAAAATTTTTTCACTTTTTATATTAGTTTTATTGCAGCCAAAAGTTTCGACTTTAATAAGTTTGAATTAAGTTTTACATTTTTGGTTTAAGTTTTGAGGGTTTTTGGATTCTTCTAATGGTTTAAACAGTCCCGTTTTAAATCCCTTACATGGGTATTTTTAAGTAGAGTCTGGCATTTTTATGGTTTTTTTGGTGTATAGGTGTGTGTAGACTGTAGAGGTAGGGCCCATAAAAACAGATTTAATAATAAGTTAAGACCTTAAATACGTCAACACAATTAAGTTTATGAGGCACAGTGTGTCCTAAAGTGTTCAGATTGTAATATAAGTTGTTTGCATCTTTGTACAGGGTTACCCACAAAGGATGAGACTTCAAAGACGATTGTACAGAAGTCGTTTAGTCGGTTATTTTTCATTGAGAGTTCTGTGCTTAATAATTTAGTAAACCATTAAAATACTCTAATGAATGCAGAAACCAAAAATCAAGCTTCAAATCGTCATAGTTTTAGAATTCTGGGTCGTCTTTACAGTCTCATCCTGACAATCTCAAAATCTGACAATCTTAACGATTTGGTTTCAACTCATATTCTATTTTCACCCCTCAGATATATTAGATGTTTAACTTCCAATGGCAATTAATTATTAAATGTCAAAACTCAAAATTAAATAATTGATTTTAATGTCAGAGAGATACGTGGATATTAAGGATTTAGTTCTATCCTTTATTTATCTCTTGCTGAAATCAAAAATTATTCTTTTCTAAAATCTAGAAGTATCCTATTCGTCCTTACTCTATAATCTAGGAGTATCCTATTCGTCCCTATTCTATAATCTAGAAGTATCCTATTCGTCCCTATTATATAATCTAGAAGTATCCTTTTCGTCCCTATTCTATAATCTAGAAGTATCCTATTCAATATTCATGCCTGTTCTATAATCTATCTATCTATTTATTATATTCTGTTCGTCTCTATTCCGTGATCTAGAATCCTTTAATCTAGAAGTGTCCGTTCGTCCCTATTCTATGATCCTAACCTTTTCTAAACTGCAATACCGGGAAAACATGATTACAATTGCAGGACTTCCCTTATCGTTAAACAGTAATTAAATACTGTACAGTGTACAGTATTTTGTGCAGTGTACAGAGCCCAAAACTTAAGACAGGGTATCGTTATGAAAACCAGTTTTAAAACCCGGGTTTCACAAATGGGGTTAGGCAGTTTTATGAATATCAATATTTTTGTAATAAAATATTATTTTTTTCACTTGATTTATATTCTCCATTTTTTTCGAATCTCTTAAATCAAAATCTACACAAATGTTAAGACCCCAAAAAGGATTCTCGGGAGTTTCGTTCAACGATACTCTTTTAAATTTCGGGCTCAGGGTACAGTGGCTAAACATTTTTACATAAACTACATTAATTGATTGTTGAAACCTATTAATTGTAAACAAAAGAAGGATTGAAAGTCCGAGTGAATTGGTTTGAGTATATCTGGGCGAGGTCTCCGGACTGTCAAGTTTGTCAAGTCCTCATGGATACCCTGAGAGAAATGTTGTTGCTTCCTTGTATTGTCTTATAGAACCCAGAGTTCTGCAAATCTTCCTCCCTGGTTTAACCTATAGTTCAGAATATACAGTAGCACGAAATCCGGAAGTAAAGGTGATGGTTCCTCATGTTGAAGAGGATATGTATATATATATGAAGCAGTAATCTCTGTTTGCTTGTGTGTATGTCCGATCAAAATCTAGGAACCTCTGGACCGATTTGTCTCAAATTGGGATTGGGAGAACCACGAGAATGTTCTTATAGCTTGGTCTAAACATTCTAAATTGAGTTAGTTGACTTTTATACGGAAAACTCCAGACAAAGCTGGGTTCGTACGCTAGTGTTTAAATAAAGAGAGGGGTATCAATTTAAGTGTTGGGTCACTTGAATGTATACGTAAACAATCTCTTTAATTACCATCAATCCACGACAAACTGATTTACGTTTTAAAGGGACTGTAAACGTTATTTCAATAGATCTTCCATGTCCGATTCACAACTGTACTCTTAAGCTATGTCTGATCACGTCTAAATATGTTATCCATGTTTTTTTTGAACTGATTATTTTTATTTGTGGTTTCTTTACAAAAGTGATTTGCGCATTACTTGCTTCAGAAATAATAGAAATGATCAGAATTGAACTCCTTCTAAGCATAGTTAAGATTTAAATGGAGAATGACTTGAAACAAGCACAGTCCCTATAAGAATATGGCCGAGACCAGTTGTTTATAAACGATGCAGGTTCTAGGGTTTATGGTTGATGATGGTTGATCAAACAGTACTATAGGATACACATGAACCAGCAAGGATATATAATTCTTAATTCATGCAGTTGTAATTCAATCCTCCAGGCGGCAAATCTAACTGACAAATGATTGAATAGTTCAGACTTCCCAACTAGTCGCCTCAGATTTATTTCTTTAATAACAGCTCACGAACCCGTAGACTGTAATTAATGTCGAATATCATCAAACCAATAAACAAGGTAGATGTCTCCTGGTTTAATATCCTATTGTATTAATCACACATGTTAAATCTTCCGTGTTCTAGTAGTACCCTGAAGGAATATAGGATCCTTCCTCAACCAATCCGTCCTACTCAGGCATAGGATATATCTGTCCTACTCAGGCATAAGATATATCCGTCCTACTCAGGCATAGGATATATCCGTCCTAACCAGACATAAGTATAATCCGTTCTACTCGAACATAGGATATATCCATCTGCATCTTTCTCGGTTACAAGAGTATTCCGTATCGTCCTCCAACCTAGGATATTCTCAATCCTAACTCATCAATCCTTACTTCAAACCTCATCCGGAACCTTGACCAAGCGTAACCTCATAAAGTTGAATGAGGTGGGACGAGTCTAGGATAAATAACAGTGATCAATATTCATAATCTGATGAACCTGCTCTCTGCATACATACCTTAGCTCTACAGTTAGATCAGAGCAGTGCTAACACAGTGAACATGATCAATAATAAGATATCTGGTAGTTAACCTGAGCTATGATACCCTCCTGTTAACCAACCCTACCTGTAGATATGATACCCTCCTACCATACATACAATCCAGCCAGACTCAGAAGAGCAGAGCTGGCTTATTTCGGAAACTCAGGTAGGACAAAGTGACATATAGTTTATCTTTCTTCGTTTATCTTGTCCGTCCGTCAATATCTGTCTATCTAAATAAGAAATAAAAGTAGATGATTCAAAGGAATTGAGTCTTTGCCACAAACTCAAATTTTCTAATCCCTATTTCTTTACATCCTGCTGGTGTAAATCTTTGATATTTCAAAATTGGAAAATCAGAGTTTGTGACAAAGACTCAATTCCTTTGCCAACTTTTGTGTTGGACCTGATAAGGCTCAAAAGCAGGATGTCGGTCGGGTCAAGATTAAAAAAATTGACTCTCAAATGTTTTTTTAAATTGCTATTTTACTAAACAAAATCTGACATTCTGTAAAACTGATATTGTTTTACATTTCAAAATAAAGCTCCCTGGATTGAGCACAAGAAAGGGGGGGGGTTTTCTCCTTCTCGCATTGTAATACAAATCTGTCATTGCTCTCCAAACCTTTGCACTTAGTTCTTCAAGCTTATTTTCAAGGACGTAATTTGTCGAGATCTGATTAATATGTTATCTTCAAGACAGTATCTTATACTCATTACTCCGGGTACTACTCTAACCCCCTTCGCTGAACCCAGACGTATTAGAACCTGGCACACGGAGCAGGTTCATCTTCTTTATCCATCAATATTTGCCTAGCTATCTATCTATCTACCTGAGTCCGGAAGAGGGATTGGTTGAATTGATGGCAAATTCTCCAATTTATTATGGATATTCATTATGCACCGTCGGAATGCATAAAATCTATAGATCGGGTGGTTTTTGCATACAACGCCTTTCAACAATACTTTGATATCCAACTATATATCCTAGAAGCTTAATCTGTATCCAGATATGTGTTATCCTAGATGTTCAACCTTATCTTTTATCGAAGATATCCAACCCAAACTTTGCTATCCGGGAACTATATTTATATTAGTAATCTGTGAAAAAAGATTGTTTTTTTCAGACTCTTTAGAGATAAGATGTCCTATTTGAGACTCTCAATCTCAAAGGAAAAAATGAATTAAAAGCTCTCTAATGATTAGATTACTTATCTTAAACTCTCTGAAATTTATGTAGATTGCTCATCTAAAACTCTCTATAAAGATAACATTGATGACCTGAAACTCTTTAAAGGTAATATCACTAGGCTAAAACTCTCGAAAAATAAGATTGCTAATAACAAAGTTCCTAGTTTTTCAACTTAAAACTCTCTTCAGATCGAGAATTGCTGGTCTTTGACGCTCAAAAACTCTTTATTTGCAGCCCTATTGCAAAGAGTTTGCAATAACCGTTCCAAGAACTGTGATTGTTCAGCATAAAACACAGCCTGGAGAAATGAATATGACTCGTCCCACCCTGTTCTCACGTGCATGGATTTAGGGAGGAGACTGGAGATTACTCCGGGTACCTGAGACAACACGGGGAAAGGGTAGATCAGGTCATGGAGTCAAATCTTCCTGCATGTTAAATAGAAAATGTGCTGCAACACAAAATGGAAACATGATAGATAGATAGATACATCCAACTCAGCTCTAAATCTTATATTTCATCAAGACGGGTCAAGCTAGATTTCATTTTAGAGAAATTTAACAAAAATGTAAGAAATATTTAATATTCGTGGGAGGTCTTAGAAATCAAGATTTTGATATAAAGAGGGAGGGGCAATACGAGTAACTGAAAAGAGTTATATGAATTCTATGATAGTATATGTTTATTGGAAAGTGTCAGAATTGATTGATGGATTGATTAAATTATTAGTTTCGCTTGAATTGGTTTAATTACCCCGAGAATTGGATCAAAAATATAAAGAAAGTCTTTAAGAGAAAAATCATAACTTTGTATATATCTCAAAGGTTTAAAGGGTACCGTTGTGAATTAGAGAGGCCCCTTTTATAAATGGAAGTTCATTACGCTTACAGTTCTTTTATACCAGCCTGAAAGTAATTACATAGATAAACACATTGAAAGATTGATTTCAGAGAATGACGTGGTATAAGATAACAACTTCATGATTGTTATATTTAGTTGCGAACACTGTATTACAGGGTGTCCCAATAAACATGGGAATTCAGTGACGAATTTGATATCGTCTTTTCAAATGATTCTTTGATTTAGTATGGTGATACCTACTGAGAAAGCTGTAATCTGTAAGAGTTTCGTCTGCTATGTTCACATTTTGTTTGTTTATGTTTTGACTGCGTACGGAAAATTACAGTATACAAACAGAGTAAACTTGTCCGTCTTCACTGTTCATCTTGCGGAGACATTATAGACACGTTTTTTACAGTCTTTTACCCTTTTTTATAATTGATTGATTGATTGATAAACGTTTATTTCTATATTTCTTATTACTGGTATCTTAAATCACCCTTTTTTATAAAATAAACTCTAGCAGACAAAATGATATTATGGGTTTTGGTAAATTAGGTATTACAGTGCTAATGCACAACAAAGACGATATCGAATTCGTCACTGAATTCCCATGTTTTTTGGGACACCCTGTACAAACTACAATTTATCATAATTTCAAAAATTTAAAATCAAATTATTTTTTGCAAAAGGAAAAAAAATAAAATAATAATTGATGAATTACAAGCAGTTTACTCTGTAATGAAGATGCTTAAAATAAATTGCAGGGTTTGCCAAAACGGTTCTAAATTGCCGGGCATGGAAAATACGCGCATAGGAAGAGCATGGTTGAAAGGGGTGACAACAAAATAATTTGAGGGAATATCATCAAACACAGAGACCGATAGGGAAATGAAAAAAAAATATATTTAATTCGCAAAAAAATACTTTCCTCTCTAGTTTCTTTAACAAGACTTTTTCCAAGGGGCCAAATTATTTTTGCATATTTTTAGAGAAATACCGTAAAATTTTTCCCAAATATTTATGAACTTGAAATATTTGTCTAAAGTTAAACTATTAACAATATATTTCCTAAATTGTTTATTCTTAGATCCATTAATTCTACTTAAGATCGACTGAGCAAAGATAATCTGTATATTGTATAGAGTGCTATATTTGTAACCTGATAAAATCTTAAAGTTTAATACACTTTAATTATGCCTGCATAGATATTCAGGTTTATCTAACTACATCTTACATCTACTCACAGATGTTTATGGTCAACAATTATATTCCATTAATGCCATGTCAGAACTTATGTAACTTTTAACTGATAGTGAAATAAAACATGGACGAAAAATGAGATATTTTAAAAGCTTTCCAAAATGTGATCGTTTTTTCTACAGTGAAACCCTTAATAACGAATATATCGGAAGAATTTATCAAATGTCGCCTTGACAATTTTTCAATGAGTTTTATACTATATTACGTAAATTTCAGTATTTGCGAAAATAAATAAATAGCCATGAATATGCAGGAACAGTTTTAAAGAGTTCCATATAATCATTTAGTTAAAAAACTAAATATCTGCAACATTCCATTATTAGAAAGTGAAGAATACGACATTTGATGAATTCTTTCGATGTATTCGTTATTAAGGGTTTCACTGTATCTAATAATTATCTTTGATAATTCACACCCAAATGGACAGAAATTGAAGACAATAATTTCTGGAGCATTACTGGTACACCTTTGTGACATCGTGGCTCTATTAGTTTTAATGTTAAGCACACATAGGAGAAAAGCAAAGGAACTGAGTTTTTGCCACAAACTTAAAGTTTCTTATCCCTACATCTTTGCAACCAAATATCGTAGACCTTTTTTCTAAATTTGAAAACAATTTTATTATTTATCAAAAGTTTACACCATCCGGTTGCAAAGATATGGATTAGAACTCAGTTCCTTTATTTAGTTTCTTGTCAGAAGTTCATTTATCTATTTTGCGGCATTAATTATGATGTCTTTAAGTTAAAATAAAATAGTAGAACGACTTTAAGTCATATTAAGTAAATACTTTTCGAGTAAAGAAAAAAAAAATTAAACCGAGGATTAACTCTTACTCGAAATGTATGCAAATTCATATCAACTCTTTTAAACACAAAGAAATTTTCGTTTTACCAACCACGTTTTCGTTTTATCAACCACTTGTTTGTTTTATCAACCACTTTTTCGTTTTACCAACAACGTTTTCGTTTTACCAACCACGTTTCGTTTTACCAACCACGTTTCGTTTTATCAACCCGTTTTCGTTTTATCAACCACGTTTTTTTGTTTTTGTTTTTGTGAAGTTCAAAATTAGGCAACGATCAGAGTGAGAGATTTTTAGACACCTGTACCTTAATAATGTTGACTGTGCCTGTTGTAGACTGTATATGGAGCTGGTTAAGACGGGTATACAGAGAACTGCGAGTGGTCGGATACATTTATCTCAAGTTAATCTCTGCATATTAGAATATAAGATATAAAGACCAATACTAGAGGGCGTTCAAGCCTGCCAATCAATCCCGATATAAGAGAGGTAGGCGGGGTGTTGGATAGAGGTAGCTTTTTAGTAAAATATATTCAAATCATGATATTCGGTAACTGATCTTTTATCCGATTAAATCAGTTTGAATAGTTTTATGAATATTCCACGGCTAAAGGCCGGGTTTCAGATGCATAAAGTAGTTCGATTACTCATATATACTACTACTGGAGAAGGATTGATTATACAGTCCGGAGCTGGATTAGATAAACATATATTGTAGGTTTACAGGTTTCAAACCCAACCTAGATTCATTCTGCTTTTATTTACACCCCGGTCTTTATAGATCAAAATCTACATTATTATTTCCTAGAATACTGTTCCCTCAATAAAATCTCAATAGAATCTCACTAGAAGAGGCAGGTTCATTTGTTGTACTGTTCCGTTTTTCCTTATATAGTCTGGTATGTTTACTGTACAGCTTGCTCTAACCGCTCAAAAGTCGGCTCGGTACTTGAAATGAACCGGATTTTACAGTTACCTTGGTCCTTCCTTTTTATTTACGCCTAAAAAAATTTATCTTTCAAAATCCCTTCATATATTTTTTTTTGTTTATCAGTATGTTAGGACA